GGGGGGACACTGGTTCCCTTGGGGACACAAGGGGGCTGCATGGGGGGGACAGGGCCCGGGGGGTCCCCGGTGTCCCCGCTCACGTTGGCGGCGATGACGACCGTGAGTCTCTCGATGACGTCCAGGAAAATCTCGTTCTTGGCGCCCTGCGGGGGGGAGCGGGACACGGGGGTGACACAAAGGGACCCAAGGGGACAAGGGGGTGACCCAAGGGGACAGGGGACCCAAGGGGACAGGGGGACACATGGGGACATCGGGGGGTGACCCAAGGGGACACGGGGTGACCCAAGGGGACGTGAGGGACACACGGTGGCACAGGCGGTGACACAAGGGGAGACCCATGAGGTGACAGAAGGGGACACGGGGGGTGACACAAGGAGATAAGGGACCCAAGGGGACACAGGGGGTGACTCCAGGGGACAAGGTGACCCCGCTCCCCGGGCTCGCACCTGCTCGGCGCGCGGCGGCAGCACCGGGCGGCTGGCGGCCGAGCCGGGCGCCACGCGGCTCTGCTGCGTCTCGGCGCCGAACTGCGGGAGGCGGCGGCACGGGGGGGTGACGCCGCCGCGCCCCCCGCCCCGGCACACCCGGCGGCACCCATGGGTGCTCTCTCACCAGCCCCACGGAGCCCAGGTCCAGCAGGCTGAAGGGCTTGGAGGCCACGGGCTCCGCGTGCAGCAGGTTGCGCAGCACCTCGGGCGCCGTCGTCTGCACGTAGCCCGTGTCCTGGGGGGGACACGGGCCGGGGGGGGACACGGTGTCCCCAACGCGGCCCTGGGGGTGTCCGTGTGTCCCCCCAACCCGGCCGCCCAACGGGGTGCCCCCGGTGGCTCTCCAAGGGTCCCCATTGCGCAGGGCCCCCCCCGGGTATCCCCAATTGCCCCTGATGGGTCCCCAGCACCCAGTGTCCCCCAGGGTGTCCCCAACTGCCCCCAAAGTGTCCCCAGCACCCACAGTGTCCCCCAGGGTGTCCCCAACTGCCCCCAATGGGTCCCCAGCACCCACAGTGTCCCCCAGGGTGTCCCCAACTGCCCCCAATGGGTCCCCAGCACCCACAGTGTCCCCCAGGGCCACCCCTGGGTGTCCCCACCTGTCCCAAACGGGTCCCCCGCACCCACAATGTCCCCCAGGGCCACCCCTGGGTGTCCCCAGCACCCACAATGTCACCCAGGGTGTCCCCAGAAAGTCTCCAGCACCCACAATGTCCCCCAGGGTGTCCCCAA